TGCCCGGCAGCTCTGCGGGACCCCAGTCGGAGCCGGCCCGAGGAGGAGGAGGATCCTAGGACCCAGGTGAGCGAGCCCCGGGAATGCTGCTGCGCATGTGCGGGAGTTGCCTCACCCCGTTCGTATCTAGGGATCCGACATAAGTCGGATCCACGTAAGTCGGGGACTGCCTGTACATCCCATTGCCCTGGCACAACCAAACCCTGACTTTGCTTTAAGTTCTAATAAGAGGAGATTACATACCTAATTTGGTGGCCCTCATTTTTATTGTTCAGGAGGAGTTCTTCAACAAAAGGACTCAGATGGACACACATACGTAGATTAATTTTTAGATTCAAAAAAGCAAATGGATCCAGTCCGAGACTGTCACTGTAGTGACCTCTTTCCCAAAACTTGAATTGTTTTATGAAAGGTAAATCTTGTTCGAAACTGGCAATGCCATTAATATCCTTGGTGCAGTACCGGCGGAAGGATACTTAAAATACTGAGATGATAGACCATTGAGTTAATGAGATTGGGCCTAAATGGATAAGAAAGGTAAGGAAATACTTAATACTTTTCTTACATCTACTCAAGTTCCTATTTTTGCTTGGCCTGCACAATCTGTTCCTAGCCCTGCTGCTTGATCCTTTTACATTTGATATGGAAATTTTATTTGGATGTTTATATTTTCCTTCCTTTTCCACATTAACTACTCATACAATTAAAAAATTAATGACCCTCTAAATCTTTCATTTACCCTTCTCTAATATCCACAGCAAGAGAAAACAAATGTTCTTTGCATTTAACTTGCATGAATTGCACTTGTTGTGAGAGGGAAAATAGATTTGGAACATCAAAGTATCTTTCTGCATATTTTTTCTGGGAGCATTTCTTTCCCCTCCTCCCACCATTGACTCATCTGACCTCTTTCCTTTCCAAGTCTGAGTTGATGGCTAGAGTCGTAAGCACTTCATAGGCTGCTTCATAGTCCCTCTTGCTACAGCTTTATATCAGCGTAATTTCTCCTAGACCATGGAATTATATTAAAGTGAACAGAGAATTGGACTCATGGTTCGTGAGACGATGAGTTAACTATCTGAAAGGTGGGTGAAGATTGAACACTCTAGAAGATGCACAAGACAGTATTAAATCGAATTTGAATTTAAAAAGACATTGATGTTAGCTTTGTAGCCTTCCTGGAAGACATGGGTTTGAATAAAGAGACTGTTAAGGAGATTTTAATGTGGGGAGGAAGGAAAAGTAGAGTGGGAAAAATAAACTAACTGGAGAGGCAAGGTTGGCCTCTGGCACGAAGCAAAGGATGAGAGAAGATACAGGAGCAGAGACCAAAGTTGTACAGAACCCTGATGTGAGAACAACAATAATCTCTGGGAGCCCAGAAAGGAGAGGGAGCTAGTATCACAAGTGCAGGCCTAACAAGACTGCATAATCACAGCACAAAAGCTATAACTAGAAACTTTTTAAAGGTATACAAGGGGGCTGTGCCCCCACTCGCCAACCCCACTCTCGCTGGCTCCTTCACGGGCAGAGAGTCTGTTAATCTTGCACTGAGCCCACCCGTGCTCTCCACAGCCCCAAGTCACTCGTACTCTTCTCCCCTCCCTCCCCATCACACCTCTGGATGGGCCTCTGTATCTAAAACCACTTGGCTAATCCCGCCCGCTCGCTCACTTTATTTGCCAGCCAGCCCACCTTCCGCACTCTTTCTGCTCCTGCCCCACCTACCAATAAAATAGTTCGCTCTTGTACAGAGTTTGGAGCCGTTCCTGGCAGCGAGCACGGGGAAGGGCTGTGCTCTGCGGGTTTGTGAGCCTCATGTGTAACCAAAAACAAACACTATTAGTCAAATGGGGCCCGACTCCAAACGAATCCCCTTCATTCCTGGTGCTCCTGGCTCACTAGCAAGGGGCAGGAGCTGGGTTACATGTGAGCAGTGAGAAAGGGAGAGAATTCCCCACTTTATGCTCCTGGCTACTGCCCATCTTTGTAGGGCAGCAGCACTCCTGATGTGCCCTTCCAGCTGGCAAGCAAGCTCCTGCTGCAGGGCTGGGAAACGCTCTGAGCAGAGAGGGCACAATGGAACCACGGGGGGACTACCGAGTTTTACATGCACTACTGAGAACCAGATTTTGGTCATGCGGGAAGAGAGCCCGATGGTGTAATCTGGGTTGCTAGTACTTATCCCGAGCTCCATGGCCCACAGCCTACCTCCCTCATTCCATTCCTGCCCCCACCTCCATTCCTACATCCCTAGCCCCCATCTTCATTCCTACATTCACCCGTCCTTCCTAACCCCTGCCACTACCCATCCATATTCCCACTTCCTTCCTCCATTCCTACACCCCCATCCTTCTGTAATGCCTCCTCATCTGCACCCCCACACTGTCCATCTCCCTGCCTCTATTCCTATATCCCCTCACTCCCACTATCCCCCCTTACTGCACCACCCATCTCCATGGCTTTGCTCCATGCTGAGCCTGGGGGAGCCCAGAGCACAGAGCAGCTGCTCTGGAAAGCTGGGGAAGTGGCCAGGGTGCAGTGTAACTGCATTGTCCCTAAAAGGCCAGGTGTGAGGTGTGGGCAAGACATACCCAGGAGAGCCCACCTGAATCACAGGCTTGGCCCTGATGCTTCAGTTGATGAACTCCTTCCCTACAAGGCTGGGGTGCAGCACTGCAAACAGGGCCCCTCTGAGAGCCAGAGAGGAGAAGCAGGGAGCTGGCTCCCCAGCAGGAAGTGGGCTTTGTGAACACAAGGGAAGACAAGGAGCCCTCAGAGGACAAGGCATTCCGGAGGGAGTCTAAGGGTCCGCAAAGCTCAGTGAGGGCAAACCCCCAAAGGGCTGCACCTCCACGGCATTCATCAGAGCCTGGGTGTCTTCGGAGAGTAGATGTCAGTGCAGGGGCCCTGCCCAGCCTCTAGGTGTCACTCGGAGAGCCCCCATGTCATCCACAGAGCCCCAGCCTCAGCCCTTCACCACAGGGTGGGCCCCACGTAGGTCTCCTGCAGGACCTGCTCATGCACAGGCAGGCTTTCCGCCATCTTGGGTGGGAGGGAACCAGGCAGCAGCACCCCCACAGGAGCCACTGCTGGGGACTGGACCCTTGCTCTCCTCTCCCCCATCCCAAAAGCTGCAGCATGGGGTCACGCTGGGACAGCCAGGAGGCACCGCTAGCGCCAAGCCCACCCATTCTGCAGCAGGCTGATGGGAGAGGTACACACTCTGAACACTGGGGATTGGGAAGGCCCCATAGCTCCCCCCCAATCAGTGGGGAGGAGGAAGCCATGCGGACCCCTTCCCGAGCATGGAGGAGGCCACATGGTTCGCAAGTCTCCAGAGCACGGGAACGGCGCGGCTGTGGTATTTTATCTGGGCTGGAACTTACAACAGATACATTTGTATCCCCCTTCTGCTCTTGCCTGCGTGGCTTCCTCACCTCAGCTACGGGCAAAATCCTCTCTTCCTGCAGTTGGGCATCCCAGACTATCCTGCTACCCCCAAGCAGACCACCTGCAAGACCCTGCCTGGAGCCCTGGCAGCCCCTCCTTGGCTGAGCCCCAGTGGGGTGTGGAATCCAGCCCCAGCCCCACTCCATGGATGCCAAGGGTGGGACATTGATTAGCATCAGTGAGAGTGTAACTGGAATGTGCCACTACCCCATCCCACGTGACGTGGGACCAGCCAGCTGCCTGGGAGGAAGCAGGGGCACTTAGAGCCCTGCCTGGAAAATTCCCAGCCACTCCTTGGAACAACCATTCTTCCCTGGCCACCAGAACCCCTGGCAGTGCAGCTCTGGAAGATCTGCAACCTGAGACCTTCCCCTGTTGAAATGCAGTAACCTGCTTGGCATTTCCCTCAAAACCCTGCAGGGGGTGCAGAGCCTCTCTCTTCTCCTCCCCTGCCTCCTCCTTGGCAGGGAGCCCTGGGCAAGTGACGATGGGTGTCTCTAGCTCCA